CTGTCTGAATCTGAACAGTTTCTTGCCTCTGCTATGCGTTCAAATAGAGTGAAAAGAATGTCCGGGTCACGCTCATTAAACTTTGGCACTAATCGCAAGTAAGAAATGATATTGCCACTGCCTGATGCCGACCTATCACCACCATCCTCCCCTGGAGAAAACTTGCCCTCTCCAATCAGCCGTAATCTAGCATATTCCACCTCACATTTCATCTTTTCCACCTCCAGCACCTTCTCCACCTCTAAACGCTTCTCTACCTCCTGCTGCTGACCCCTCATCTCCAACTGCAACTTCTTCTGCGTCAACCTCAACTCCAACTGCAATCTCTCCTGATCAAACTGCATGGCCAAAAGCTCCTTTTGCTGCTCGAACGTCAAACCAGCTGTCTGAACCACTACCGGCACGAACCCTGCCGCACCAGACTCACTCTTCTGCAAACCCCCTGCTCAAACAAAGATGACACAATGACAGCTTTAATGTCATGTTTCCGCTTGCTCCCCACAACAGCAATGTCATAGTGCTCTGCTATTTCGACCAACTGCGCCTTCTGGCAACCATCTAAGAAAGACACTGAGGGCGCATCCACGAACGCTGACAAAGAAGTCATAATAGCCAATCAGAAAGCAAAGTATTAAACTGCCAACACGCATGGGCATAAGATTAACCCAACAGAGAATTTCCCCCTAACTGCCTAAACAAAATCTTCCTAATCTCACCTAGTCTTCATGTGGCTTGCGGTGGGTAATTACGCACTGAAACCCGGCGGAGTTATGGAGCGACCTGCACGCAGGTAACACCAAGAACTCACGCGGACGTGCCCCCAAGACAGCTGTCCGAAAACAGCTGACACTAACCACGTCGCCACAACACTATGAAAACAAAAAAAACAGACGCAACCCAAGGGGAAACGCCACTTAAGCCTAGCGGGGAAAATCTCTTTTACAAAAGCGTAACAAACAGCAACATCTTACCTTCTGATTGGCACACAAAACCTGACGACATGTCAAACACTACAGCTTCCTGAAACCCAAAAGACATGATGTGTCCCCCAGATAGCAGCGACAAGCCAGCACACAGCTGGACCACAACAATGAATCAGCTGCTCAATGACACCATGTGCTCTGAGCACTACACAAACTTTTTAAACAAATAACCCGTTGGATGAGCCCCCATTTGTTGCGACCTGGCTCAAAAGGCCACAACAAAAAGGAGACACATGTCAACGGGTAGGTAAAGGTGTTTATTAAAGAAAGTCATTCAAATGAGCCAAATTCATAGAGTGCAACTGAGAAAACCCGTACTTCATACTCAACCAAAACCCAGGTGTCTGCAGGGGAAAGCAGAGCGAGAACAGAGAGGAGCAGAGAGGCTTCAAATAGCTGCAGGACACCAGACCCAGGTGCCCTGAGTTACTGTAATCAATGCAATCACTGGAGCCAATGCAGCACAGACAGAACAGCCACACCCTCTCTCTACTGATGGACCCACAGGGGCATCACAGGAATACATTGCAATCAGTTGAAAGCTATTTGCGTCTCTTTATGAAGCTGAAGGAGCCTAGGAGCGTCACAACTGCACGCCTCGGGACCCTGACCAAGCGTCGCTCCTGGACGTTTATGGAGTGAGAGTGTGTTGTCTGACGAGGTAAATCCTAAGGACATTGCACCACACATGTTATGTTTAAAGGACAATAATTCCAGACCACAGAAAGTATTCAGATTATCATACAGATCATCTGCAATAATCCAAGTTGAAGATGATTTAGCAGTCCTTAAAGAACGCATGGGTGCATTGGAAGCCCAAGAGGAGGAGGTTAGAAAAGAAAAGACAAAACTTGCTTTTGAACTAAAACTGTCTCGGGTGGACGGCCCGGGGGAAAGGCAGAGTTTGAAAAGGGGGGACTCGGGCGGACGGCCCGGGGGCAAGGCAGAGTTCAAGGATGGGGTCTCGGGCGGACGGCCCGGGGGCAAGGCTGAGTTTAAAAAGGGGGAGTCGGACGGACGGCCCGGGGGCAAGGCAGAGTTCAAAAAGGGGAACTCGGGGGGGACGGCCCGGAGGCAAGGCAGAGTCCATGGTGGGGCGAAGGCCACAGCGGGCGAACTCAGGGGGCCGAGCATGAAGGCGAAGGCAGCGTCAGGAAGAGTCAGGGGGCCGGGCCCGAGGGCGAAGGCAGCGGCACTCAGGGGGCCGGGCTCGAGGGCGAAGACCGCGGCTCTCAGGGGGCCGGGCTCGAGGGCGAAGACCAGACAGCTCCGGAGGCCTGGCAGAACCCGGTGTCGGCTGAAACAGGAACCGGAGCCGGTGGGACAGGCTTCGGCAGGATCCCCCACGGAAGAGGACCAGGAGTTGGCAGGACCCCCGGCGAGACAGGTGATGGCGGGGCCTCCAACGGAATAGGACAAGGGGTTGGCAGGACCCCCGGCAGGAGAGTAGTCGGCGAGACCTCCAACGGGACAGGACACAGGGTTGGCAGGACCCCCGGCAGGAGAGTAGTCGGCGGGACCCCCAACGGGACAGGACATGGGATTGGCAGGACCCCCGGCAGGAGAGTAGTCGGCGGGACGTCCAACGGGACTGGACATGGAGCTGGCAGGACCCCCAGCGGAACCTCCATCGGCACAGGACATAGGGTTGGCAGGACCCCCGGCAGAAGAGTAGTCGGCGGGGCCTCCAACGGCACAGGACATAGGGTTGGCAGGACCCCCGGCAGGAGAGTAGTTGGCGGGACCCCCAACGGGACAGGACATAGGGTTGGCAGGACCCCCGGCAGGAGAGTAGTCGGCGGGACCCCCAACGGGACAGGACATGGAGTTGGCAGGACCCCCAGCGGAACCTCCAACGGCACTTCAGTAGGGACTTGAATTGGGACTTGAGTAGGAACTTGAGTAGGACTGGAGAGGGAACTCGAGAGGGAACTCGAGAGGGGACTCGAGAGGGGACTCGAGAGGGGACTCGAGAGAGGGGACTCGGGAGAGGGCTTGAGAGGGGACTTGAGAGGGAACTCGAGAGATGACTTGAGAGGGGACTTGAGAGGAAACTGGAGAGGGGACTCGAGAGGGGACTTGAGAAGAAACTGGAAGAGGGGACTCGAGAGGGAACTTGAGATGGGACTAGAGTTGGGATTTGAGAAGGGACTAGATAAGTGACTAAAGGAGGGACTGGAGATGGGACTAGAGATGGGACTAGAGAAGGGACTAGAGGAGGGACTTGAGAAAGGACTTGATAAAGGAATTGAGAAGGGACTAGAGAAGGGACTAGAGAAGGGACTAGGGAAGTGACCTGAGGAGGGACTAGGGAAGGGACTTGGGAAGGGACTAGAGGGGGGACTTGAGAAGAGACTAGAGATGGGACCAGAGAAGGGACTAGAGAAGGAACTTGAGTTAGGACTCGAGAAGAGACTAGAGAAGGGACCAGAGATGGGACAAGAGATGGGACTATGGCAGCTGGGGCCAGAGCTGAGTCTGGAACCATGGCTGCTGGGGCCAGAACTAGGTCTGGAACCATGGCTGCTGGGGCCAGAACTGGGTCTGGAACCATGGCTGCTGGGGCCAGAACTGGGTCTGGTACCATAGCTGCTGGGGCCAGAACTGGGGCCTGTACTGTGTCTGGAACCATGGCTGCTGGGGCCAGAACTGGGGCCGGAACCATGGCTACTGGGGCCAGAACTAAGTCTGGAACCATGGCTGCTGGGCCAGAACTGGGGCCGGAACCATGGCTGCTGGGGCCGGGACCATGGCTGCTGGGGCCAGAACTGGGGACGGGACTATGGATCTTTGGGCTCGGGCTGCTAACCTGGCCTTGCGACTCCTTCATTTAGAAGCCGTTTGGAGGCTCTGTGGACCTCCAAAGGCCAGACGAGTTCCAGAGATCTGCTCCTGGACAGGAGCAGGCAATGGGGCAGAAGCCAGGGTTGACTCCAAACGGACCACACCGATGCGTGTGGTGTCATAACGGGAGTTCGGAGGCCTGGGGCTGTCAGGCAGGGGATAACACACCATGAGGAAATCCAAAACCCCACCCGGTAAGAATCTCACCAAGCCTGGTTTCTCCATAGTTATCTGGCGCGCCTCCGCCAGAGTAGCCTCTCGCTGCTGAACCCCGGACGCTCCCATCCATCGATCAGAGCAGGTGGCCAAAGAAAAAGTAAAATCCAACAATTCCTGCTCAAAAGGATCTGCTGGGCCCATATTTGGTGAGTTCCTTCTGTCAGGGTTGAGAGCGAAGCAGGCAGGACCCAAATGCAGATAAACAGAAAATACCTTTATTTCAAGGCTTAAGTACAGAGCAAAACAGAACTCTTCCCCGTGAACAACGTCAAACTACAACACAGACAGATCGTGACAAATACAAGTGGACCCTGGATGAGGGGAAGGACGGAAAAGGATTGGTCAGCTCTGCGAGCCCCAAATGAAGACCAGTGTCATGGAGAGACCTGTTTGAAGATCCGCCTGCTCCGGAATATCTCTCAGCCTGTGGGCACTTGCACTTGGCATAAGCTTCACAAAAGAGACACAACTCTCACGCTTGAGTGCACAGGGAATGACTGCACCCCATACTAAATCTGGACCCTCAGGCAAGATAGATTGCACATCTTCCGGCGCAAACTGAAAACTCATCTCTTTCCACTCCACTTCGAGCGTTAGAACTATTAACGAAGCACTTTTATACTAATAAAGGACTGGCTTACCTAAAGCCAGTTGAGTAGCACTTGAAATGTTTGGCTCTATGAAACCTGTAGTACTTATATGATTCTGTTTTCTTCAAGGTTGTGTCTTTCTGGTCGAATGTACTTATTGTAAGTCGCTTTGGATAAAAGCGTCAGCTAAATGCAATGTAATGTAATAATTATTCCCTTATGTGAAAGAAAGAAAACAACCCCTAACCCGAACCGGAAAGGTACATTTGAACACACACTCCTTTTTCAGCCTCCTACCAGACAATGTGACTGAAAACAAACAAGCTGATAAGTGTGTGGTTTTAGATGAATGCATAAAACTTACCTGCAACAACAATCAGATGAAAGGTGGAGTTACTACGACCTAACTTGTTCTGGGCTCCACAGGAATAACTCCCACTGTGTTCGGCTTTTAAATAAGTGATGGTGAAGATCTGTCCTGAAGCTTTTGGAGAGTCTTCATCCTCCTTGTACCAGGTGTAGTTAGCTGCTGGGTTAGCATCACTGCTACAGGTCAGAGTCACTGAACTGCCCTCCTCTATCTCAGCAGAGGGACTCACTGACACAGAGGGGAGCTTTGGAGCATCTGGAGGAAATACAATAAATCAACAAAAGATTACAAATACATCATGTTGAATTGAGTATTGAAATGAGACGTAGTTATTTGTGTGGGTGCATCTGAAATATGGAAGTGTGTTTTGACTGGTATAGAGCTGAAGAAAACAATTATGTTGTTCATATACAGTATATCGTTTTCTGTATTACTGCTGGCTTGAATACCCTGAACATACGTGCAGATTTGAGAGCCAATAGTAGATACAACTTCATGTTCATCATCTACTGTAGCTGCTCTCCATCTCATTGACCTACAGCAGCAGACTGTGAACAAAGTAGTCATTAGTTGCATGATGCTTTTTAAATCATCTGGGTTTTACTCACATTTCACATCAATAGAGATGGATTCAGATCTTCTCCTCCCAAGCAGATTCTCAGCTCTGCAGTAATACTGTCCAGAGTCAGAGGACTGGATGGAGCTGAGGACGAGACGTGGTCCTTCTTTGACAGAAGAAAGGTCTGCATTTTGATCCTCCTTGTACCAGGTGTAGTTAGCTGCTGGGTTAGCATCACTGCTACAGGTCAGAGTCACTGAACTGCCCTCCTCTATCTCAGCAGAGGGACTCACTGACACAGAGGGGAGCTTTGGAGCATCTGGAGGAGAAGTGTTTAAAGTTATCAACATTAAAGGGTAGATATAATGGCAACTTGCAAATGTCCAGAGACACAAAGCAGAAAACGTTTTTCACAAGCATCAAGCATCTGGAGGAGATAACATGAACACATTTCACATTTAATTCCACAGTGGAAGATATTTTAATGAATGATAGTTTAATCAAACACAGAGTGGTGGTTCACTTGATTCTATCCTTTATCAGAAATCTAAACATTTGAGGGAAAGTGTTAATCTTTATGTCATGGAAGAAGTTTCCTTCATAATTCTTGTTTATTCTTCTTTCTAGTAGCATCCTTTGTAGCAAGAGTATATTTATCCTATTTTAAAATCAAACAGAAAACCTAGAGCCCTGGTTCAGTGTCTTTGGACTCTGCCATGTCTGCTGGTGACCTCTGGTGGGTAAATAGATAAATGAGTGCAATGATGATATATGTTATACTGTATGTTAATGTTATTATGTTAGTGGAAGACTTTGAGTAAACTCACACACTGAAGGAGAGGGGAAGTCCTCATATCCCTTCAAAGCACAGGAATAACTGTCTGCTGACTCATATCTGAAGTCTGCATAAGGAGATGTGTCTTTCTTCACTTCCTGTCTGTTCTTAAACCAGATGTAGGAAGTTTGACCAGGTGAACAACTGCTGAGACACTGAAGGAGAGTAGACGATCCTGATCTGCTCACCTGGAGATCTGAATAAAGAACATAAACATACAAAAAAGATCAATAATGTTCATGTATCAAAATAAAAATAACATGTTAAATGTTTTAAGAGTAATATTTCAGATACCTGTGACGGACAAAGTGACTGGATTAGCCCAGTATGTAGCTTGGTTTGTTTTGAACATGAACCTGTACTCAGCTGAGTCGCTCTCTCTCAGGTTTCTGATTCTCAGAGTGCAGATGTTGTTTCCACAGAGATCCTCTACACGACCTGCATACTCTGAGTCTGTGTTCAGATCTACACGTTTACCACCTTTCTGTTTAGTTAACCACAATGTTTTCTCTAATGTGTTAACACGATTATTCAATCTAGATGGGTATGTGTAGCTGCATCTTATCTCCACTGTTGATCCTTTCACTGCACAGATCTCAGTAGAAGAGTAAGTCATTCCCCAGCCATCCTGACCCTGAACCACTGAAACACAGAGCACATCAGAAACTATCATCAAAGTTAATCTATACATTGTTGAGAAATTGCCTGATCAGTACTTTCAACAAAGAATGTAAAAATAAGCATTTTACAAACTTTACTGGGATAGAGCAGAAAAACACATGTGAATTCCTTCTTAGGCATTTTAAAACCAATGATACTCTTTGACTTTGTTGTTTCTTAATCAAAGCAGGTAGAACAGAAGTCTACGCAAAAAGGGTTCAGTTTGACACAAGATTGGAAAATGCCTTCATATAAATGAACAGTGAATGATTAGCGATCACATTAATTAGAATAGTGTGAGACTCTCTGAACAGTTTCCTCTCTGTTCGCTCTGTGGTCAGGTTGCTGCTGAGGTCAGTGTGAACAATAACAATACATGCAGAGCACTGAGGTGTGAGCAGCTTCTGTCTGATATACCGTGTGAATATAACACTGAGGTCAGAGAGTAGAGAAGGAACTAGAAGGGTTAGGTGCAGAGGTATAATAATAATAATAATTACATGAGAGTTGAGTCAATATGTTTTGACTTAGAATAACAATATCTCTCTAAATCACTTAAATTAATAAAAACAGAGCTGGCGATTCTTGAAGTCATCTTAAGAAAAAACAAAGCAAAATGTTTTCACAGAGAGGATGGAACAGTTATGCATACAATATATTCTCATTTTAACGCTTGTAAAAGTGATAAGCAAACTAATATTTGATGCAGATGATTGGAGCAAAGGACAGTGGCAACGCACAACAAGATCTTCAGAAAATACATAAAAAAAACTAGTAATCTTCTTCTTCTTTCGTGTAACGTTAGAGGTCCAACTCGGTGTCGTGTAGCCATGCCCGCATCTCTGGTCATAGGTCGAAGAGGCTGGCTTCCGAGGGTGGTCTATATAAAGGGCAGATGGTGATTATATGGACAGCGGTCTGCTCAGGGTCACCGCACTCGCATGCCGCACTGTCCTCCAAGCCCCACGTCTTCATCGATGTTTTAAAGCGACCGACCCCAGTTCGTAGACGGTTCAGAGTGGTCCACTGCCGGCGCGGTAGGTCGTCTCCTCCAATGGCGCCATCTCCTGGGTCCCAGATGTAACGGTGGATTCGGGAGGGCCCGGCTGACTCCCACTCCTGCTTCCAAGCTGCTGCCAACCATGCATCTCTGGAGATGTCCTCAGAGGTGGAGTTGAGCATCTCTTGAGCTGCTTTGTTGTTGGGGTGGCGGGACTTGAGTCTGTAATGTCTTTGAGTTTCTACAATTCTACACACAATTACATTTAAAATGTTTCTGCTAGGTTTGCCTTTTACACAAATCCATCCCACTTATTCCCACATGAGACCTGGTTTTACAAGTCCCACAATTTCCCAGAATCCCCTCTGTTCATGTGATGAATGTAAGTGTAGAAGTACAGTACCTGACACAGAGAGCAGGAAGACAACTAATCCACTCGCTGCTGCAGTTAGACTCATAGCTGCTCCTCTCATCTCTGTGAGACTATAAAACATGTCAGATTAAATAATGTTCACAGGAGGTTTACAGAATCATTACATCAATAAACTGTTTCTACTCACAGTGAAGGAGGAACGACGTGTTTAAAGATCCCTGTCCTCTGTCGCCAATGAGCAGAAGACGGATATCAGGCTGTTAACAGACTAGATTTCCTTCCTCTTTAGACGATTAATATGCATGATGAGCCAAACCCCAGTAACACCCACTACACAGTTGTGTTTTGTTGTAAACATTTTTACTTTTCTTAACCAAATAAACTATGGCTTTAATTGTTTGGCCGCCAATATACCACTGACACCAGAAAAGAGCATTCAAATTAAGTTAATCTTTATGAGCACTGAGGAAGTCACACAGTCTGCCGGTGTAGTGAAGGAACAGGAAGGCATTAACCTGAAAAACCACGAGGCAGTTTAACTGAACAGCTAGAAGAGCACAGTATTAATTATAAGAGAGGATGGAAAATGCCATATAATTTCTCTTGGTTTGTTTCTTCTCTGTTCTCTCTGCGGGCAGGTTGCTTGAGACTTGAGAAACTCACATGCCTGCTAGTGGCAACCCAACATGAACACACACATCACACTCATAATCAAGTGGACAGGAAGGAATCAGACACACAATGGTCCAGTAATTATTGTTGGAGCTATTGATTGATTTAACATGTTGATGTTGATCTATGTCATGGAAGAAGTTTCCTTCATAATTCTCCTTTATTCTTCTTTCTAGTAGCATCCCTCGTAGCAAGAGTATATTTATCCTATTTTAAAATCAAACAGAAAACCTAGAGCCCTGGTTCAGTGTCTTTGGACTCTGCCATGTCTGCTGGCGACCTCTGGTGGGTAAATAGATACATGAGTGCAATGATGATATTTACATTTACTTTCATTTGTTTATTCGTTTGTGTTTACATTAATTAAGATTTGGTGTATTTTGTTGGTTTTCCTTTGTTATCTTTCTGCACCGAACGGGGCAGAACCCTAACCTTTTGTCTTGTGCCGGACAGGTGCTGTGGGCCTGAGGCGGCAGACTCCCTGGTGGGAGCAGTGGTGTTCTTCACGTGTCCGTTTTGTGTGGTGTGCAGCGTCAGTGATTTAGCTTGGACCCCTTGCTCCCCTTTGTGTTACCTGCCGCTGTGGTAAGTCCCAGCCCTGTCCTTTTCCCCAAAGTGTGGATGTTATTGAAATGTATTGTGTCTGGTGTTTTTAGATATTCTGTATTTTATAAATAAAGTAGCCTTTGATATTAACCCTTAAACTGTCTCTGGGCGAAACTCCCCCAGGTGGCGTTTTCAGCAACGGACCTCTTACACCTAGCCGCACCACCCCCATGTTTTTTTTTAATAAATATTTTATTGAACATTTTTAAAACATACAAAAGCTCGGTGAGGATATCATCAACTTATCAACAAGACATTTATTCACAATAATATAATAATATTCACACATTCATTACGTGACCGTCTCTGTTTCCTGTAGATATTTAATTGCTGTTTTTACTGCACTGTTAGTGTACAGTTTACTAGGGTTAGGCTAGGCTAGGCTAGGCTAACCCTAACCCGCTGCTGTGTTTATTGTATTTTTGTAACTCTGGCATAACAATGTAAGTCTTATCTTATCTTAATTCCATCGTTTCTAAAGGACTCTGGTTGTGTTTTTCTGAACAGATGTAAAGAATTGGACTGTCACTTCCTGTGATGAGTTTCAACAAATGTATTTACCTCACTGTCTGCTTTGTGTGTGACCTGAGTGTCTGTATGTGTGTGATGCTGTGTGTACCTGTGTGTGTGCTTTCTGTGTTACTGTGTGTACCTGTGTGTGTGCTTTCTGTGTTACTGTGTGTACCTGTGTGTGTGCTTTCTGTGTTACTGTGTGTACCTGTGTGTGTGCTTTCTGTGTTACTGTGTGTACCTGTCTGTGTGCTTTCTGTGTTACTGTGTGTACCTGTCTGTATGCTTTCTGTGTTACTGTGTGTACCTGTGTGTGTGCTTTCTGTGTTACTGTGTGATACTGTGTGGCTTTTCTCTGCGTTGTGGCGGGGTGGTGCGGCTAGGTGTAAGAGGTCGGTTGCTGACAACGCCACCTGGTGGAGTTTCGCCCAGAGACAGTTTAAGGGTTAATATCAAAGGCTACTTTATTTATAAAATACAGAATATCTAAAAACACCAGACACAACACATTTCAATAACATCCACACTTTGGGGAAAAGGACAGGGCTGGGACTTACCACCAGCACAAAGGGGAGCAAGGGGTCCAAACTAAATCACTGACGCTGCACACCACACAAAACGGACATGTGAAGAACACCACTGCTCCCACCAGGGAGTCTGCCGCCTCAGGCCCACAGCACCTGTCCGGCACAAGACAAAAGGTTAGGGTTCTGCCCCGTTCGGTGCAGAAAGATAAACAAAGGAAAACCAACAAAATACACCAAATCTTAATTAATGTAAACACAAATGAATAAACAAATGAAACCAAAATGAAACTCCAAAAACTTGGAGTTTCAGGCTCTGCACTTTCCCTCCTCACCTCATACCTGAAAGACCGTACCTACGGGGTGACTTGGAGAGGGTCTGAGTCCGACCCTTGTCAATTAACTACAGGGGTCCCTCAGGGCTCTGTTCTTGGTCCCCTCCTCTTCTCCCTGTACACAAACTCGCTCGGACCAGTCATTAGCCCGCATGGTTTTTCATACCACTGCTACGCTGACGACACCCAATTAATTCTGTCCTTTCCCCGCTCAGAGACCCAGGTCGTCGCACGCATCTCTGCTTGTCTAGCTGACATCTCTCAGTGGATGTCTGCTCACCACCTCAAGCTCAACCTTGACAAGACTGAGCTGCTCTTCCTTCCGGGAAAAGATTGTCCCACTCTTGACCTAACAATCAACATCGGCACCTCAGTTGTTTCCCCGACTCAGACTGCAAGGAATCTGGGTGTGACCCTAGATAACAACCTGTCCTTCACTGCAAACATCGCTGCTACAACCCGTTGCTGCAGACACACGCTTTACAACATCAGGAAGATACGTCCCCAGCTGACACAGAAAGCGATGCAGGTTCTGGTCCAGGCTCTCGTCATCTCACGCCTAGACTACTGCAACTCCCTCCTGGCTGGTCTACCTGCATGTGCCATCCGACCTCTGCAGCTCATCCAGAATGCAGCGGCTCGTCTGGTCTTCAACCTTCCTAAATTTTCCCACACCACTCCGCTCCTCCGCTCCCTTCACTGGCTTCCGGTAACTGCTAGAATCCACTTCAAGACACTGGTACTTGCTTACCATGCTGCGAATGGATCTGGCCCTTCGTACATCCAGGACATGGTTAAACCGTACACCCCAGCGCGTGCACTCCGCTCTGCATCAGCCAAACGACTCGCTGCACCCTCGCTGCGAGGGGGACCCAAGTTCCCATCGGCGAAAACACGTGGGTTTGCTGTCCTGGCTCCAGGATGGTGGAATGAGCTCCCCATTGACATCAGGACGGCAGATAGCTTGCACATCTTCCGGCGCAAACTGAAAACTCATCTCTTTCGACTCCACTTCGAGCGTTAGAACTATTAACAAAGCACTTTTATACTAATAAAGGACTGGCTTACCTAAAGCCAGTTGAGTAGCACTTGAAATGTTTGGCTCTATGAAACCTGATGTACTTATATGATTCTGTTTCCTTCAAGGTTGTGTCTTCCTGGTCGAATGTACTTATTGTAAGTCGCTTTGAATAAAAGCGTCAGCTAAATGCAATGTAATGTAATGTAATGTAAAAATGTAAATATCATCATTGCACTCATGTATCTATTTACCCACCAGAGGTCGCCAGCAGACATGGCAGAGTCCAAAGATACTGAACCAGGGCTCTAGGTTTTCTGTTTGATTTTAAAATAGGATAAATATAATCTTGCTACGAGGGATGCTACTAGAAAGAAGAATAAAGGAGAATTATGAAGGAAACTTCTTCCATGACATAGATCAACATCAACATGTTAAATCAATAAATAGCTCCAACAATAATTACTGGACCATTGTGTGTCTGATTCCTTCCTGTCCACTTGATTATGAGTGTGATGTGTGTGTTCCTGTTGGGTTGCCACTAACAGGCATGTGAGTTTCTCAAGTCTCAAGCAACCTGCCCGCAGAGAGAACAGAGAAGAAACAAACCAAGATAAATTATATGGCATTTTCCATCCTCTCTTATAATGAATACTGTGCTCTTCATGTTGTTTACTAAAACTGCCTCGTGGTTATTCAGGTTAATGCCTTCCTGTTATATTTCACACAGTCTCCGCCCTCTACTGGACTCTATGGGTACTACTCTCTATCATGCTGTGCGTGCTTTCACCTACTGAGTTTACGTAAACGTAGCCGGCCAATCGGGGCGAGCCTACCTGAATGCGCGCGCAGGCCCAACGTATATAAAGGCGGCTACACCCGCCGCCCACTATCCTTTTTCTCTTCAGACGAGCTGACAATCGAAGAGTTAAACGAACGAAGATTAGAAGATTAGAAGAAACGGAAAATGGACTAACCATTACTGGAAGCTCGGCCATGCACCTGCCCTGGTTTGATCGCGGGCGCCGGTCTCCACCTCCTCTGCTTAGAGTGTTTGGGGGACCAGGATATGGCCGAGGCGGTGCCATTCACGTTCGCCATTCCAGCGGGGCGGATGCATGGATGTATAATAAGAACTGGATACAGCGTGGGAGGCGGGGCCTCATTCATTCCTATGAGAGCTGCTCATTAGCGCATGATGATAAAATGGCTCAACTTTTGAGAGAGTGAAACGTCACAGATTACCCAGCATGCCTGAGAAGTACCCGTATGTGCACTCATAGAGCATGCGCAACTTTAACCAAAATGCTCGTTCACATCAAGCACGTCAATTTGCATACACGTAACAGCACCGCGCGTTCATGACAGCATGGTAATGGTTTGTTGTTATCATGGATTTGATATTAACGAGGCGGCAGATATTAGCTAGCGGCTAATAATGATGCTAATGTACACATCAATCGTTATGTACGTATATTACGCTGTAACAGGATCTAGTGATATCCAACAGAGCTTCATTTAGCATGAAATAATTATTGCACTGTAGCCTATATATATATATTTATATACAGTGCAATAAGCTTCTTAGTGCAATACGAAGCTACAGGGACGTTAATAATGTCGGTAATATTAACTTTATTTAATACAACATTTACGGTACAAGATTTAATCATACAGCCCCAGTGCTGGAATTGGGCCGGTACTCACCGGTACGCAGTACCGGCACTTCTGGTTCTGACCCATGGAGTACCGGCACTTCTTGCTCAGTACCGGCATGCTGGCGGTACTCCGGTACTCATGCACCGTGCCAGTACTCAACACTCTCCCGCCGTTCTTATTATACATCCATATATATATATACAGCCGCCCGGTACTCAGTAGATGCGTCATGAGGTGCCGAACGGACATTCTCATCGCTCTAACCGCTGGAGTTTCACAGCGGCTGTCAGCTGTTTACTCCTGTCATTCAAACAGAACGTGCTGGAGAGGGGGCGGGGCTTATCTTCTCCATGTAAATACTGTGGTGGAAACGACTATGTCAAAATTAACTATTTGACCGTGATTTAATAGTAATACACGTTTCAAAATAATAATAATAATAATGCCGAAGTAACAACATACTGAAAACTGTTAGTAAAACCATGTTTTAATGCTTTACAATTTACATACCTAGATGCACGTGTGTTGTGTTTATGCAGTGCAACTCCCACCCAGTGGGTGGCTATGTAGAGTGATAGAACAGAGCAGGCACGCCCCCGAGAGAAGGAAAGCAAGTCACGTCACAAATTAGCATTTCTAAAATGTTAGCGTGGATTAATAAAAGTGCAAAAAGACAGCGGTTGTCGCCGGAAGAAACTTCAAATACAGAGAATGCTGTGCCTGTGTTGGAAATTGTGTCTGATGGGGAGCTTTCTTTGGTTGATCCTCCTGCTCCAAGTTCTAGTGCATTAGCATTAGCACTAGCTCCGCCGCCTCCTCCAGAGCCTCTAAAGTTAGCTGCTGCTGGCGCAACTGCCACCACCAACACCGGGCAAAGCGATGCACCTGACTGCTGGACAACGGACCAGGTGCAATATTTTTGCAAGACCAATGCATGGCTCCTTCTTAAAGATAAGAAGCTAGGATGTCGGATATGCAGAGATGTCAAATCTTTGGGAATACACACTGGACAAGGACTGAAACTGTCAACTGAATGGGGTGAGTGTGCAGTGTCTCATTTCGGTGTTGACAAGGGCAAACAACAAGCTAGCCTGAGAAAAAAAATCAAAGAACATAAAGAATCACAAGCCCATGTAAAAGCTGCTGACATCCTTACATCTGCTTCACGTGAAACTATTCAACATCAAGTGCAGTCTATGCATAAATCTGAATTAGACACCACTATCAGAGTTTTTCGAACGGCATATACAATTGGCAAACATAGCCGGCCATTCACAGACATGCCAATTGATTTGAATGTACAGAAACTGAATGGGCTGAACGTGGGCAGGGTTTTGCACTCCAATAAAACCTGTGGCGAAATCATCGACCACATAGCTCATGAGCTGAAGAAAAAAATGGCAAAAGACATTACAGAAAACCAAAGAAAACTCTGTGTTTTGGTCGATGAATCTACCACTATTAGTGGTAAAACGGTGCTTGTTGTGTGTCTACGCTCAGCATTAGCTGATGCTGAGCCCGAAACGTTTTTTTGGGAGCTGATCGAGTTGGATGGAACAACGGCTGATGACATCACAAAGGCGTTAATGGAGTGTCTTGGAAGAGATTTTAACGAGGACTTTTTAGGTCAGTGTTTCGTTTATTTTGCATGTGATGGGGCTTCAGTCATGCTAGGGAAGAGAACAGGCGTTGCTACCCAGTTGTGTAGTAAATTCCCAAGCCTGTTTGTGTGGCACTGCTCCAATCATCGTCAAGAGCTGGCAGTTGGGGATGTGGTCAAGGAGGTCTCAGGGCTCAATCATTTCCAGATCTTTTTTGACAAACTCTATTCCTTGTTCCATGCCTCCCCCAAAAATCAGAGGCAGTTAGCGCAGTGTGCGCAAGCAGTCGGACAGCGTCTCCTGGTGATAGGGCGTGTTTTGTCCATCCGCTGGGTGGCTTCAAGTGAAAGGAGCGTCAGAGCAGTCTGGGAAAACTACCGAGTGCTTCATGATCACTTCACAAATGCTGCAAACGACACGAGCAGGGATTCCAGAGACAGAGCAAAGTACAAGGGCCTGGATGATGTGCTCACATCTGCAACGTTTGTCAGCAATCTGGGACTGATGTACGATGCGCTCACAGAGCTCAGCGACCTCTCTCGGCAACTCCAAAAAAGAGAGATGACACTGCCTACAGCAGATAGGCTCTTAACTCGAGAAATACGAGTTTTTTAATCCATGGTCACCATGCTTGGCCCACACATGACTACAGTTCATACAGCTCTAGCTGAGAAGTCCTTCAAGGGTGTTGCCCTGCGTGAGAATGGCAGGCTTGTACAGATTCATGCAGGTCAGTTTTTCCGCAGTATGGTAGAGAATCTGAGACACAGAATGACTTCCACAACCTCCTCTCATGTCAGCACAAGAGAAATCCCATTACATGGCCGGGAGGCCCGGGACAATCGGCTAATCCAGGACATGAAAGTTATCCATCCTGGAAGTTGGCCTGAAGAGGAGTTAGACGTACAGTATGGGGACGTAGAGGTGCTACGTTTGTGCGAAGTGCTGAAAGTGGACAGAAGAGAGACTGTTCAGGGCTTTCGCGAATACAAGGAAACCAGGGCATCCCGTACACCTGCTGCCATGGAGCCTCTACTGAAAGCAGTCCGAACCATCGCTGTCTCCACTAGTGAGTGTGAGCGGGCATTCAGCTGCATGAACGATATCCTTACTGCAAAAAGGAATGCTCTCTCTGTCAGCCGACTGTCCAGCCTGGTTTTCATTAAATGTAATGGACCATCACTAGGACAGTTCAATCCGGAACAGTATGTGAGGTCCTGGCTGGCAAAGGGAAGGAGAAGTGCTGATGAAAGAGCCTGTCCAGCTCCAGCCCCTGATACTGATGTCCCCAAGGCCTTCTGGAGCCTTTTCTAACAATGTGAAGTATATTGCAAAGCAGCTCACCCAGTGAGAAGACTTTTGGCATAATGTGCCGATTTGTACAGATCCTGGAGATAGAAGGACTTCAGACCAACTAGGGAGTTATCTGATCAGCTTGGTGTTCAATGTAACTCTTTACCATGGCTCATTTTAGATTGTGCAAATTTTGCATTTGTTTTTACATGTTCTTTGTTCATGCTCTTTATCATTTTTCTGAGTTGGAAAGTTAGATTGCATCATAGTTTACTTTATACATATTTGTATTCTTCAGTGGTGAAGTATATTGCAAAGCAGCTCAGCCATGTGAGAAGACTTTTGGCACTTTTTCGTTTTCTGAGTTGGAAAGTTAGATTGCATTCAAAATGTACAGAAATACTTAATTTTGTTAAAGCTTTTTATAAAAAATGCTTCTGACCAGAGCTTTGTTTCCTTGTCATTAATGTTGAACACCACCAGAGGGGCTCTCATCTGAAAGGTCTCTGCTTCATGTGTCTTCAGCAGAAGATCTAGACTTTGATTGCTATATTTTCAGTTAATATTGACCTTACTGAGCTTTAGCCATATCCGCTGCCTATCATAAAAAATGTTAAGTACAGTGAACCTTTCTAAAATATACAGTAGTAAAGAGACAAACCCACCAGCATTATAGTAGCCAAATTCTTGTTTGTGGGCTGTATATATAAAATTGACTTGAAAAAGTTGCTGATTTTAGAGTACTGGCACCTTTTTCATTCCAATTCAAGCACTGATTACAGCTCCGTGGGATGGCAGTAAGACGATATGGATCCGTTCTTATTGTGCATCCATGGGTAAAGATAAACGCAACTCACATTGGTTTCTCATACAGCATCTCTGTAAACTACGTGTATTCACTGAATTTCACTCTCTGCCTTTAACGGGATCGTTGTAGCTCCAATAGCTTCAGCCCCCACCCTCCCTGTGAGCACAGTGTGCTCTGATTGGTCGGGACACGTAACATGAACGTGCCGAGCGGCGCGGTCCCGTGGGCTAGATGCGAGGGGGACCCAAGTTCCCAACGGCGAAAACACGTGGGTTTGCTGTCCTGGCTCCAGGATGGTGGAATGAGCTCCCCATTGACATCAGGACGGCAGATAGCTTGCACATCTTCCGGCGCAAACTGAAAACTCATCTCTTTCGACTCCACTTCGAGCGATAGAACTATTAACGAAGAACTTTTATACTAATAAAGGACTGGCTTTTCTAAAGCCAGTTAAGTAGCACTTGAAATGTTTTTGCTCTATGAAACCTGATGTACTTTTATGATTCTGTTTTCTTCAAGTTGTATTTTGTTGGACGAACGCACTTATTGTAAGTCGCTTTGGATAAAAGCGTCAGCTAAATGCAATGTAATGTAATGTAATGTAATGCGTGTTCATAATGCAGAGGGAAATAACTCTCAGAATAACGTTATTAGCACATTATTACAACTTGAGGAACGAATGTTTTTAATAAGGGCTATACAAGTGTTCATACTGG